ACAAACATACAACGAAAACTGACATTGATTTTGATATACCTAATGTATAGATGTGTGTATTTGCCGATCCATTTGTTCGATTCGTGTTTAACACACCTTCAGTTTGCCCACGTTGGTTATATGACGTGTTTCCAGGTCATAAAGTAATAACCGAGCTGTAAGCAAACATTCTTATACGTTAGATAAAGTTTCGTATGAACCCCCGTCACCGAGAATCAATCGTTCCCGACCTTTCACATTTTGCCCGTCATCCAGGGTTTTGAGAATAAATTACGAAATAAACAAATGCTAACTTTGTAAATGGAAAAGTTCTATATTTAAAATACATTAGTACCTAATATATATTATTCACTAGCTTTTGCCTGCGACTTTGTTCGCGTGGAGTTGTGACTTCCTGTAGATTTTTGGTTTAAAATATCTATCTATCCTACATACGTCTTTTCTCGAGTTCCAAACTATGTCTGTAGCAAATTTCAGACAAATAGATTCAGTAGTTTAGGCGTGAAGAAAAGACAGACAGACAGACAGATAGACAGACAGACAGACAGAGTTACCTACTTTCGCATTTATAATATTAGTTTAGAAGTTTAGATTTAGATTGTTATATTATTATAGCATCCGCCCGCGGCTTCGCCCGTGGTATGTTGATAAAAAACAGCCTATTTGTTAATCCAAGGTATCACCTATTTACGTTGGGATTGTATCTCGTTTTAAACAATTCGGTTTATCCGTTTTGCGTGAACAAATAACAAACTTACATCCATACATTCTTAAAAATTTTCACATTTATAATATTAAGTAGGAACTACCAAATTACTTAGTAATTGTTTTTTAAAGGTTAAATTAATAATTAACTATTATTCTTATGGGATAGCCCAGCATACGAGCCGACGGATCACCTGATGGGAAACCAAAATAACGCCGCCCATGAGTACTCGTGCTTTGCCGGCATTATTAAGATATTTACATATGTAGGTATGTCAAACCTAGAAACAAACGTGCCTCTGGGATAAACAAAACATTTGTTTTTTAAATAAGCACCTACCTATGCTATTTCACGTAAAAACATGATGTTGTAATTTTATACGAACTTCATAGAAAGGTATCTAACGTTTTTGATATTACAATAAAAGTATTGGATTTGTCTGGTTGGAAACGACCGTATTATCACGGAAATATAAAATAACATTGCTTAGTTTAAAACATGTATTAGAACACCGAATTTGTTTTACAGTTATTCCAAAGAGACCGTAATTTCATTACGTATTAATATTAGTTATCACACTCTATTCAATATCTACTTAACTTCGTTTTACATTTAATTGGATTACAATATCCACATGCCACAACGTCCATACGTGTACTCCGAAGGTTAAATGTGTTATTGTTTACCTGCTAATTAGCAGGTACTTATAATGACCTTGTTTTCATGTCGTAGGTACTTGTAACTAGGTATATTTTTAAATTAATATTATTTGGAGATTTCCATCATTACTTAAGGGCGTAAGAAGTCCTCTGTTTGTCCTAGACCAGCCCTAATAATCAAATTAATGTGAAGACAGTGCGCTATAATAACCATAAGTTTCATACTAACGGATCTGATACTGACCTTAGCCTACCTGGCGAAGATCCAGAAAAAAAGAGTTTACTAATTTATGTATATACAACCTATTTGTGCTCAGAGGCTATCTAGCTGTTACTGTAGCATTCACGTAGGTAGCTAATGGATAGATTGTGCCAGGCCGCACTGAACCGTAACGATTTGTTTACGCCTCGTTAGATACAAAATCTGAAAACAAAACCTCTATGAACATTTCCTTCAATGTTCGTTTTATTGGATTATTTGGAAATGAGTAGAGTGGGCAACTACTCACCTTATAGAAACGAGTTCCTAAAGTATATTAGGTAAGTACGAAGTGAGAAAACCGAATGTTTCCCTGTAGGTATATAAACCTGAAACACAATCTGATACAAGTGATTCCGTGTTGAATATTTGAAAGCAAAAGCGAAAATAAATTAAAAAGAACGCAGTGGAAGTTTGAAAAATAAATACGTTCCATTTAGTGTTTGTCGTAGTCAATTAAAAAAATAATTAATATTTATTTAGTCGGCTTTTTCGTAAATAGGTCCCCTTGGGTGTCAGGCCGCGATTGTGTCGTGCAGTACTTGAGCTATCCATCATGCCGTAGCCCATTAACGCGTAGGGCGAAGGCTGAGGGCGCGCCGGGTCACGCCAACCTAACCAGCTCTTACGTACATATTTTAACCCGCCGAAAACAGGGCGATATCAAAATATGTTTGTTGAAAAAAGAAAATGATAAAACTATAAAAATATTCTAGCTGAACGTAAGATTTTTTTATTGGTTGAGTAAATTTATAGACTTGTTTACAAAAATACTTTTTGCCTTCGTTATTCGTATAGTAAAAAAATATATTTATCACGTAAGTACGTAGACACATTTCTATTAATGTTGATAACAACGAAAACATGAAACTGTAAGCTACAGTATTGGTACGGGACCACGGGATTGCCTTCGCTAGTGTGCAACTTGTTCGCAAGTCATCTAAGTTAGGAGAGATTGGATTTTGTAGGTTCTCGTAAACCGATTTAATGGACCATTTCAATCATTCAGAAACTTTACGATCTTTACTAGGTAAGTATACCTAGTGAAATGAATAGAAGGCAGAATGAGTTCTATAAGTAGATAACTTGTAAGTCTGCTACGATTTTTTCATTAATTAATTGTTATTATACTTTTACTAGTTTCAGAAATAATATAAATCAATTTTTTAAGTGTTTTTAAAGCAGATTTTACGTCGGTTCTATTGTATCAGATACTAATATTTCTTAGATTTTATCAAAACAGATACATACCTACTTATAAAATATGTATGTATCCAATTAAGGTTGTTGAATAAACTCCAAAAGCTTTACAATTTACATTCTCAATTTGTCGCGGGACACAGGCATAGTAAATAAAAGTAGGTACCTAAGCTTCGTTTTCTTTCATTTTCCAATCTCGGATCGACGTGGAATTTCATTATCTTCATTTTTCAAATAGCCTATTGCGAGAGGGTAATATTAGGTACCGAGCTCAAGGGAACGATTTTTGTGGCAATTGCCTTTTTCGAATACTTGAAATGGAGGCTTTTAGTCTTTGGTTTCGAATAGCAACATGTTATTAGAATTAAATTTCGGATTCGTTGAAATATAAGAATGCTTAAGTGAAAAGCTACCTGAGTGAAATAAATGCGGTTAGATCCGTGATACATGAAGTCCCAAGTTGGAATGATGGCCTAGTAATTTTATTTATTTTGGTCCTTGATGTAGGTAGCAATTGATGACGGTCGGCGCGGCTCGGTGCGGCGCGACTGTTTGTGACCGCCCGCTCGCCGCTCGCACGCTGTAAACGTCGCCCTATAAATATTAGATGCGGCTCTGCCTCCTTACGCTGCGCCGCCTGTGCGAGCCGGTACCCTGAGAATCGATAGTCCACAACACGTATGTGTCACTGTCTTGTCCCATACATTCTAATAGTAAGAAATAATGTTCTCGTTCTGAGGTATTCGTATCCCCACGAGTGTATTAGGGTCGGGGCGCACAGTTTACGTGTCAATAATAAACCAAATGAAATACCTTCATTCCCCTCGTGCTCTATATCGTATGGTATTTCAGTACTAAAGAGGCTTCACAGTGGATTGTTAGTCGTTTGATCGATAAAACTCAGTTATAACTAGCCACAGTTATGTAGTGGCGTAGCGAAAGGAACAATTATGGGATTAGTTTTTTGTTCGTACAGAACTATTGTAGGATTGTAGGTATGTTTTTCCTGTCAGTTAGGGCAGAATCTACGTGTATTGTAACGGAATGTGAATAGCATGATTTATTATTAAATTCATAAAAATATCACAAAGTTATTTGAAATTCGGACGTCATCGAATCGAATAAAATCAATAATAATAGTCTTACTAAATCCGCAAGGCAGCATGTGGTGAGCTGTTGGGCAGTGGTGACCCCACGGACCTGACTCCCGGGAGGTGTCACTGATGAAGAACAAGCCCTCCTACCTCATTCTTGCCTTAATTGAGTGGCTTGAGTGGAGATTCGCAAAAGTAGGAGTTGAAGGAGACTCGGGGGAAGGATGTATCTCAGTAAGGTGCTGGTGGGGGTCTTGACAGTACTTCCGGGATTGCTCTGATAGCCGTGGGATGCCTCTCCTTCCTTAAACAGCTCAACGTATGTTGCCCCGGCCGTTTCCGGGGGTCCATTAATTGAGTTTGCCAGTCACCTGTGCTTGTTTATCCGTATGTATCAATATTGGTCTGGGCAGGTTATTTCCATAGCTATCATATCCACCAGTCCATAGCAACACACTTCGCAATAGTCCTGCATCAACCGGGATTATCCTTGGGTGCACTTTCATAGAGCATGTAGGGCTAATTGCTGGCCCATTTTACTTAAATTAAAATTGTTTAATTGGCCTCTGGGAATCTTACTAATACATATGTATTATAAAAGCGAAAGTAACGATTTTGGACGTTTGTTACTCAATCACGCCAAAACGACTGGTCGGATCTGGATGAAACGTGGCACAGGCATCAGGATACACTCCGGAGTAGGCTAATTTTTATCAACATACCAATATAGCCATACCGGTAAAAGCTATTATTATCATACAATTAAATATATTGAACTAAAACGTACAAATTTATTTGTCTTCAAACGATTATTATTATTAATTTTTACTTAATTTACTAAATGATGATGAAATCCTGTAAACTGAAACTTTTCAGCACTCAACATTAGAGGTTAAGTATAGGATATCAATAAAGTTTGATCTGAGCACGGCGTGTGTGAAAGGTCATTTGAATAATAGATTACTTAAGATAGCAAGCGATTCGACCCCGATACCATTAAGTATGTCGCCGGCCTTGTGATTTGCTTTCAGTTTCCGTTTAAGGCGTATGTCATTTACTTATACTAAAACTTGTAGGACGAGATGTCCCAAAGCTCCTCTAAGACGGTAACTTACGCACAACATTTGTATAGAAATGTAAATGATTCTTGACAAAGTTTCATTCTCAACGTTATCTTAACTGTAGTACCCCGGTCCCCTTTTTGTGTAAGTTTGTATCTTTCGAGAGAATACTGCCAAGTTTCCACCTTCCTGTTAGGGACTCCTTACCACCAGTCAAAGGTCAACAAGCTGAGGTTTGACTTCAATTAATTTCGTTTCTGAGAATTTATTATTGTTTGTTATCCGTGTTATTGATATCAACTGAGATCCAGGTTATAAAGCTCGGAAAATAACAGCATTTATTTTGATGGTTTCGGGATTATTGAAATTAAAGAGGTTATTATTCTCTTGTGTTCATGGCGTGGCTATGCCCAAAGCGAGGGTACCTCAAGGGAGTGAATAATGAAGTTAACAATACACCCATAGGTCGTCTATGATAATGGAAGGTTGTTAACTAAGTTTGCGTATTAACTACTGTTTCATTGTTCGCGTCTTCGCAAGCACAACTCCGATCAAGACGTTTTGGCTTCGATTCTCGGGTAAATTATTATTGGAAAAGTGGTTGTGTCCTGTCCTGCTTAAGGGCAAAAACGTGATATTTTTTACGTGTGCAATTGTAATCCAGGCGGTATATTTAACTAAAATAATTTAAAAAGGACAAGGTTATTTCAAATAAACTTTACAAATTAGATGTACAAAAAGTTTTAATTGGATGAAACCCAACAAAGTTACGTAGGTAACTACAGCTCCAGCTTTATAAAGATAACAACAGCACAGTTGTAACAACAACACAACATCAAATTGTTTTTTTAATAAAGAAATAACAGGGTCTCACATGTTACCATAAAATTATAATATTTGTGAGAGTTCCTACTTACTTAATTGTAAACAACCATTTCGGGCAGGGACGTGGCACGAGCGGGCCACGATTCTGCTGAATTATCCTAAACAAAGACCGTTACTGCTCTGAAATTAACAATTATAAAGCTGAATTGCTTTATTTAGGCATCTTAACGAGATTGTTAGGGAACACAAAAGGCACCTCACTTTTATTCGAGCGACAAAAATGCGCTTCATTTCGTCTTTTCTCGGAGTAATTTGAAGTGTAAACAATTAGTTGGAAAGACCCTGAAGTTTTCTCCTTAATGAGATTAGTTTCCGCCTGTAGGCAGGAAATCAATTTGCTGGCATCCAGCCATGCTGATACGTTCCTCGGCTCAGCTCACTACTCTCAACAAGTGCATTAAGCTCGCGTTTCGCTATAGCTAGGCTAAATAAATCTCATAATACTATTTGGTAATGAATGATATTTCAAAATACAGACATAAACATAAAACTAAGCTTAAGCTTAATAAAAAGTAATTACTCGAAATATATACTTAAATATAAAACAGGTCTGTAGGTATGTCTGTAGGTGTAACATTAAGAGGCGCTGCCTAGCTTTAGGCTATCTAATTGTACTTAATCTTAGAATCCAATCTAAATTTCATGTCTTGCAATAAAAAAGCTAGATTATGAGATCGTTTATAAAAATAAGAGTGTGTTTATATTTGAGAGAAATTCTTAAGTGCCAGTAGATATCGTGGCTTCGTGGAGTTAAATTTAATTAAACCTCTCACTTATCTACGGAGTTCGTTCTCTGGAGACATAAAATTTAAAGTTTTCTGTTTGAAATAAACTGCTTGATAGTAATTCAGCAAACGCAATTCATTGAGTATAAATTTATTCTTATCGGATCAATTTAAACTTTGGACAATCAGATTACTAGGCATAGCTCATACCAAAACGTTTTCATAACTTTTGGACAATCATTCATAGGCTTTGTGCATGTTCAATTATATCAACAACTAAATTAAATACTAAGTACTTATGCTGTGCGACAAGTGGTCTTTTATTTTGTGTTCAAGCCTTTCAAGCTTGTGATCAGCAACTTGGAACTAATTCCTACAGACTAACAGACTATTAAGACTAATCTGTTTAACCTAGTTTGTAAATAGAGTCAGTGCATCGCTGTCGTATCGTGTTATCAGATCCTTGGGTTAATGTCATTAATATGGAACACTTCTATAATTTTTTCATCACATGAAAAGCAGCCATTTTGTAGCTGTAAATGTTTGTTATGTGGGTATATTTGTAAAATATGTATATACATACATTTATTGAATTGCCTTGTAACGTATCCAATATATATTCCTTTAATATTAGGGCATTAGCATATCCATGAATTTTATATGTAAGTATTTTTTTCTCTGCGGAACGAAAGAAAGGATTCGACAGTTTTCTTTTTATTTAGAATCGCGTCGGAAATATAAGAAAACTCAGCGCGCACTGTGGTTTTCTCTAATGTTATCTTTAGTAAATATGGGTGAGGTCGGTCGGTTTATTAAGTGGGTGCGTGCAGGGTTGGGGGTTGGACTTGAGACACGCGGTTTCTGGCCCCCGCCCGCCCCAGTCCGCCTCAGCGTTCCGGAACGACGTGAAAGCTCCCGATCACAATATCCGGTACTGATCCGCAATATCACCCTATATGGATTTAGGACATAAAATTCAATGATTATAATATAGCCTTAACGGTTTTATCTAATATTATATAGGTCGAGCTAAGTCTTGCAGAAAAATCCATAGATTCGGCATTTGTGCTAGGGTTTTTCAGTCTCAGTGGACGTCTTTCAGCTGGTAATGATATTATTGTTTTCTTTTTGGTTTTTTATACCGCTGCTGTTATGCTAAAATTGACGACATTAATAAAACCATCTGTTTTAAAAATATGATTTATTTACGTAAAAAGTTAAGAAGGCCACATTAATTTAATTAATGAATAATTCATTAGTTAAATTAATGTGTTAAATAAGTGCCACTGTTTATAAAAAACCGGATCAATTGAAACTTGGGGTAATAAGCCAAATAGGCGCCTAGCTACTTACCTAATGTTTTTTTGGTTTTAGATACTTACTTATGAAATGCTAATGTGTTCATTATTTATAATATATTTAAGTAAAATTATTTATTTGCAGATAATCATGAGGATAAAAACATCAGACAATGGTAATATCGCCGTATATAACAACCAAGATTTGCTGTCGCGTAGGAATTCCGACAACAGGAGTTGGTTGTCGGTGAACAGTGCACAAACCAATTTACGTGACCATACTACGGATTACTCCAAAGTTACGAATTGTAACACAGTATACAACTCTCAAAGGAAGACAGACACGTTTGAGAATTACTCTACTACTTCGGAAGTGGGTGCAGACAGTGGAGGCTTGATTGTAAGCCCTGAACTTGTATGCAACCAGCAGTACCGCATTAACAACAGACACGTGAACAGTGTACAGACGTGCGATAATACCACCACGGACATACTGGAGGAAAGCACAGACACCGTCCGCGCCCCTTGTACAGGTTACACAAGTGAGTTTCGAGTTATATGTGCGTATGAATTAAATGGAAATAAGATCTTTAACCGTGTCCTCAATATTTCAGGTAATACTAATGTATATACAGAAAAAACACCAGTCGACGAGGAAAGGGCATTCGAACATTCTGATACAGATGAAATGTCTGAGAACGGCATCCATCCTGTACCGAGGGGAATTGTGAATCCAAATTATCCGGGTTTCCAACACTTAGCGCACACGTTACAGGTAAAGTTACTTACAAAAAGAATCCTTGAAAGTGTTTTAACTTTGCTCGTTACTGTGACACAAAAGAAGCCCCAGTTGTGACTGAACTCTGCTGGACTGGGAACTGTTATTGTACATTTATATTTATGTCGGTTAGTTCAGAGTGATACTTTCTTTTCTATAGAGTTTCTGTTGACACCATTTACCCTATCCGTAATCCACAAGTTATAGTATTTCATTTCTTTTTCAGGATTATTCATCTAATATAGAAAATTTTTATCACTCAGAAAATGAAATGACTGATGACGATGTCGATGTAGAAATAACTGATCTGGCGTACGAACCAGAACCTAATCAAAATGAAACTACGGACTATACAAATATTAATAACAACAATAACATTAAATCTGACCTAATAAATACAATACTACTATCGCCTCAAAATACATCAGATTCACAGCAAAACATTGTAGATAGTCAAATAAAAAATGATATACCAGACCTTCTAAAAACAATATCTAAGAATAATAATAACAATGACGAGTCATTTAATTATGATATAAATTGCACTGACGCAGACATAGAAAATAATTTTCATGCTAAAGATATTATTGGTGATTTTAATAAAGAAATTGAAGATGAAATAAAACAATTACTTAATTACAATATAAACATCCAAGATGACTTAGAAGAATTACGCAAAGATATCAAAGATACTTTTGCAAAACCTATCGAAAACACCATTAACAATATAAGTGACGTGGTCAATCACGTAATAAAGAAATTAGTAGAAACACAATGTGATGAAAATGATGATATTCCTAAAGATAACTTTGAAAAGCAACAAAACATGGACGAAATTAGTGAAGTAAACAAAGAAAATGAGAAAAACCTTCGAACAGAAATGAATTTAAGTAGGCCTACATTTTTATTAATAGAAAATAACACCAATGATAAGATCACAGATGCTTTTCTATCGGATGGAAAAGATGAAATCAATATTAATGACTATAATACTGAAAAATTGAGCCTTAACGTGGAAAATACTATCAAGCAACTCAGTACTGAGTTGAGAAAGATAATTCCCAAACTAGATGAAATGCGTGAGCGCGATAGATTATGGGCCGAAAGCAAAAAAGAAACAGTTATAATCGATGGAAACTCAAATGAAGTAGCACACACGTCGAAAGGGTACAGTTTAATGAATAAAAGTGTTCATTCGCAAGGTAAATCGGATCCTAGTCAAACTATGAGGCTCACTGATAATCATTTAAGTGTCAGAAACAATTCTATAAGGTCACCTGTGTAAGTATTTCTACTCCAAACATATTTATTTCAAATTATTTCTAATTTAGGTATACATAATAATCACTTATTACAACTTAGTCAGCAGGTACTCAGTAGGTAGGTACGTAGTACGATCGTTGCAAACTTTCATCTTCAAAATCTACGAGTCATACTATGCTTGGTTTAAGTTTAAAATAGATTTGACGCAGCACATACATATAACTCCGATAAATTAAGAAGGGAAGTACACGCGATGTGTTGTTTAATTCATTGTATCAACTCAATTTATTTGGCACACGTTCAATTTGTAGAATTCTTGTAATTTGTAAATGTGGCGTGGAAAAACAATTTATGTTATTTGTTTAATTGTGTTGGGGTGTAATCTACTAATATGTATTCATACTTCAGTGAACCCAAGGCGGCCAGAGATAAACAAAGAGAAATAACTACAAGCAAAAACTCTTACCGCACTGCTCAAAGTAAAACATCCGTCCGTAAAAATGATAACTCAAAAGATGTAGATTTGGGTAAGTCAGCCATTTTACATATTATCTTCATGTATATTAGAAATATCTACTTTTTTGTCCTAGGTGTTTAAGATGATAAAGATAACAATACATATACATAACCCTGTAGGTGTGAAAAAATATTTTACCGTACTTATATAGCTGCAGTCTGCACTGGTTTATCGTTTGCACAAAATACTATTATTTTATTATTTATTTATTTATTCAAAAGTTTACAATATAATCTTTATAGGTGTACACCCAATGCGTTTTGTATTGTTATACATGTCAAACATTTGAGAATAATGAACATAATCAAACTTAAAATGAAGGCCATATAAATTTAACTACATAGTCAAGGAAAATAAAGAAACATGAAAAAATATTAATCACATAAAAAAATCTTAGAAATTTAATAAGAAAAACATAACCAATACCTATTGTTGCACTTAGTATCAGATTTTTCACTAAATCATTGGTCAGCTCAATCAATGGCCATCTATCTCCGTGCAGAACCAATCCTTATTTTCCCACCACAAGTGTAAGCACAAGTGTACAAGTGTAAGTGTAAGCAGAGTAGGTACCTAAAGACTGCCTTGAATCTGCTAGAGATTTAAATATTAGGTAAATAGGTAGGTGCTTAGGTAAATGCCATGCTTTGACTGGAGCGTTACCACGGCATCATAGATATCCGGCGTGAATACCTTGTTATCGTGAGTGAGATTACCAAAGCATCAGATTTACCCTGCCCCTCACCTAAATTCTTTTTTTCATTTCAAGAAGACCAGCAATGCATCCTTACTATTAGTGTGGCGAGTGTCCTGTTATAACGCCATACCAGTGAGGGTACTGTTATAGGGCTATAGTAATGGGTACCAATATATTTGCTAAAAAATAGGTTCATCACCTAATCAAAAGCACATTTTGTTTTTCAGGGAGTTTTGATGTTTACAACATTGAAACAGCTTTACCTAAGTTAGATTTGGATGCCATCGAGAACCATTTGAAAGCCGCAAAAGAAGCAGAAAGACGGGTATGTAATTTAATTATAACTAGGTAGATACTTACATTTTAGTAATAAAATTCATTAGCAACCAGTAGATACCGATAAGTACATTCAATTAAATACAAATAATTATTTACTTTGACTTATCAACCCTTATCCAAACGTGAGGATAATGAGTGTAAAATTATGTATGCACATCGTTGTTCAGAATCAGAATAATAAGTATAATCAAATAAAAACATCAATAGTAGGTGCCTACTAGTAAATTGACACAATTCACCTTGGTTAGGAAAGATGCAAATAACTTTTCCACACAAACAGTGCCTCGAGTGATAATTTAAGACTGAAATTAGTTAAAGTATCTACAGATAATCTAGCAGGTACCTATAAGTACGTAAGTACATAATTTAAATTCCGCGCTGCTAAGTTAACGGTAACCGCACATTCGCGTTTGATCCACGTCTGCCGCAGCCATGTGTAACAGTTAATTATCAATAGGCAGTAGCTAGCTTTCTAAGGTGATTCAGCGACGCAGCAAACTGCCAGACAGCCAGTCTCTTACTAAACACCGTTTTATTGAAAGGTGTGCGAGTAGTGCTCCGTCCGTGAATACAGTTTCCATTGTTTTATATTAGTGTGAATTCAGTTTTTTGAGTGATGGCGTCGATGCCTTATTTTGTTAACACAGAACAAAGACATTATAAAAAGGATACCAGATTTCTGTTAGATTTATACACTATAACGTATGATAATCACGAATCAGTTGATAACATCTGTTGTCTAGTAAGTATTTTTTATATATTTTTTTTATGCAGTGATTAATAAAGTTGCAGTATGTCTTTCTATGGCAAGTCCTAGAAGCTAGAAGCCAAGCTAAACATGTTGGAAATAGGTTAGCTATGGAACATTTTACGACCTTGTCCTAAATGTCAAACTGACAGGAATGACAGGACTTCCATTTTTTTTGTTTACTTTGTTCAATTTACAGTTAACGTTTGTACAAAAGCCATCCGTGCCATATTATTGCCAAATATAAGAAGACTGATTAGTTTTTAATATGTTCGAAAATCTAGTTAATAACATTCGACGGAAGTTTAGCAAAACTCCTGAAGAAATCAAAGACAATGCAAACACAGAAACAATAGAAAAGTCTGGATTTAAACGAAGTTTACATCTATTCAAAACGAAGTTGTTTTATAAAAACGACAGTGAAAATGTTCAAGTAGAAAATTGTGACGACACTGTGCTGAGTCCAAGAGCTATTGGTTCAGTAGAGTGTGCCCTGACAGAGATTGAATGGCCCAATCTTGCTGATAACAATCCGAACATCTTAGAGAAATTTACAAGAATTGTGTCTGCCGTAGACAATGTGTCTTATGATAAAAATGTATGCAATGCTTTCTAAACATGTCCAAAATATTTAAACACCTCCTCTTATCTTCTTCTTAATCTTAATTATTTCTTCTCAAGCTATTGTCCTAATATTTGAACAGCATTTATTCACCTTCAAAAATGCCTAAGCTGAAAAATAGCCACATGGTTTTATTGGAATGTATGTGTTTCTAAAGTGTAATTGATTACAGAAACGCAATGATAGAGAGGAGATCAGGAGACGGCTGGCAATGGGAGCAGATGCTGAGGAGTTCTACAGTATGGGACACACAGACCGGCCAGGAAAGAAACCAAGCCTGCATTCACGACTTCAAAGTGGTAAGTTACCATGTTTTTATGATAGGTACAATAGCCAGCAGCTCTTTTTCAAAACAATAAAATTTAAAATATAATATTTTGAAAGAAAGGTGGTAAATTGGCTTACCAGCATCTCTGATTTATTGATAGCTTTAATAAAAAATATAAATTTATTATATATATAAATAACACAATTGAATTGTAAGTTTTACAGCACCCAATTAAATTTCTTGTTAATCTCTATTCTGTTAAGTTATTCTTGTTTTGTACACCAACTAACTACCTGGGATAAAATATTATTATTTAGTGATAATTATTACTAAACAATAATGTGGTGTGTAACTAATCAAATTCTACATTTTCGTAACTGAACCATAGAGGTTTTATTGATATAATTTTTGAAAATTACTGTACTGTGTGTCTGACATGCATTTTAAATGTATATATAAATAAAAAATTATAGAGATTAAATAATAAAGAAAATACTTATGTACATATATAAACTTTGCTGGTTGTAAACTTTGTGGTTGTGTACAGGTGTGTGTTACATGTTCCAAATCTATATTTCAATATTTTTATATCATTTGTGATGTTCTCATACTAAATGTGTTGTGATGTCTGGTGCAGGGATGAACCTACAAATATGTTTCATGAATGAGACCGCATCTGATAATGAATCTCAAGCATCAGATTTTGAAAAGAATTATAATAACACAAAGAGTTTGTCTCGATCAAGTTTATTTAGTAAGTCAAGTTACAACCATCCGTACCAAACGAGACCTTTGTCAGTCAATATCACAAAACATGACAAAATAAGCACAGTGCAGAGTGGTGAGTACATCCTGTATATTGTTTCATGCTTGGGTCATTGTGTGTGCACATAATTGATTTAACATTAACACCATTGCGGAATAATTCACTGTACTTAACTTTCCACATCTCACTTTTCAATTCTATTGTGATTGTAAAAATGAAAGTTATATTACCTCTTCTAATAGATAGATATTATCTTTTGTTGTAAGTGTACTTTGTAACTAATTTGTTTTAAAATTATATACAGTTTGGCTTTAGATCTAACTTTTACCAGTACTGTTTCATTACACAAGTATTAATTGTTTACAGGAGCAAAATTGCGACCATCATCCCTTTCATTAAAGACAAAGTCTAGGTCATCACACTCTTTGGGCCATATTGAGATAAAGGAGTCTGATTTCTATGTACTGCAAGCAACCTTACAGACTGAGGCCAGGATCGCACTGGCGCAGGCAAAAGAAATGGCTCGCATACAAATGGAGGTATGAAACTAACTGTTTATGCTAACTAAAACAATTATTTCACTTGAATTTGCATAAGAAGTTGTAATAATATTTATGATAAATTGTAAGCTGTGATTTTTGCATAACGTATTTTATTTTTTTTGCAGCGTGAAAGGCGTAGTAGGGCGGTATCGCCCGTGACAGAAATGCTCCGGCGCAGCATGGAGAAGGCCAACGCTCCGTTGGCCCCCGACAGGCGCCGAGTGTCGCGTCAACTACTCACCGACATGAACATAGCTCAGTTACAGGTTTGTTTTTCATAAATCATACATTTAGTATCTACTCGAGCGTAGTTCCATTGCTCCATCCATTGCTCGACACCTGTCGGTCTATGAGTGATGTTTTCAAAGTACAATCTTCCTATATGAATATCTTTCTAATTTAAAGGTATTTATTGTAATGTTTCTGTCTCCGTCTTTATCTTGTCGTTTTGATTAAGCAATCAACCAAACAAACATAATAAGAAAAAGAGGTTTGACTATTAAAGTCTGCAAAAAAAAAAAAACGATCGACATCGAAGAAAGGCATACATGCGTCTTTCTTTTATACACCATGTATTACAGTTTCAATGCAACTTGTTTAACCATTGACGTAGAAAAACGTTATCTCTACTCAAGTAACTTATGTACCTACTTCAAGTACAAAAAATACCTACGTGTAGCAACCTTGAGCTGCGTTTTTATAATGTTTCAATTCGCGTGAAATAGTACTTTGGTATCTATACCTACATTAGTTTTCAAAGTTACATATATAGGACAAATGAATATGCATCATTGTTCCCACGCTCTCTGTCACGATTTACGAAACGATGTTATTTATAGAAATCAACAACCTCCCACTTGTTTTATTTTCGATATTCGGCCCTTAAGCTTGTGTGAGTCATTCGTCTATCTCCACTGTTTCACGCGACATTCGTTAACATTCTAAAGATTATGATCGCATAGATCTAGAATGCTGAACGTAGGTAAATGTGCAATATTATATTATTTTGATTGCCGTTTTTATGACGGCTTGCCGCGGCCTTGAGGATCAAGATCGCTTCACCGCGTGCTGATTCATGCACAAATACTAATACAATGGATTTATCCACCACAATGACTATTGTTAAAGATTCTGATGGTTTTTTTGTCGTATTCTTTAAGAAGATTTTGTATTTAAATGCAGATAGTAGTACTGTGATAGTGCAGGCAAGAGTCCTTCTAATTTACAGTATCGCTGTTAATTTCTTTATTCACGTAATAATCTGGCCAACTTCCAAAAGTATAAGTTAGTTTACATAAAAGTTGGCTGGGAAATGCTGGTACTGGCTCGTAGCTATTATCGAATTAACTGCTAACGCCGAGAAGCGGTTTTTGTTTCGCTTTGTTGGCTATATTAACTTACATGCCAACCGTAATTAGTTGAATAAAAGTTAAGTAGAGAAACCATTAGGACTTTCGTTTTAAAAAAAATGAAAGAGTAGCAAACTTCAGACGGCTAAAACAATTTCTCCATCAATAGAGCCATGTAGACGTCGCGTTACGTCAGCGACATTAGCCTGGCTGCCTGCCATGTACATACTTCAATACAAATAATAAAAAAAAACCTTAATCTTCTGCAGAGCTTCGCTGCGATAATACACATATAATTAAATAGCAAACAGTCGAGATTCACTTTCGCATTTAAAATATTAGCATACCGTGTAATAAATGCGTGGTTTGTTGTGTAATTGCCTTTAGTAATTGACATGAAATCATTGAACTCGTCACGTTTTCAACTTTAATTCGTACATCATAAAGTTCAATGTTGTCCTTGATGGATAGTTTAGCTGCATGTTATTACTTCTGACACCATTTGCTGTTTTATGGTTCTTAAGATTAATGCATAAACTTTCCAACAGTGTATTATATTAATGTCTTAGAGATGTACGTAGGTGCCTATTTGCTGTTATTATACAACGTTACTTCTCACAGAATCCGGTTATTTTGCTGAGGGTTGTGCAGTGATGTGCTTATTTATTTATTACCTGTTATGTCAGTACCTAGTCTGGTTATAATTGGCTCCTCCCTAAATAATAGATACAGTTCTTTTAAACCAAAAATCCATCCATAATGTAGGTATAAATGATGATTATGACTTTTATTTTAAAGTTCAACTCACGGTGAATACTCGACAACTAATTATTCTGTTGCTGTTTATAAGGAAAATATGACCAAAGATAAATTGCACATAGTATAGCTGTCAATAAAGATTAAAAGATGTTATTATATTACTATAGGTTTTGTTATGTCTATGCACTCTGTTATCTTCGCCATGTCCAAACAGCCGTATCAAGGACATGGGCCTTGAATAACTCCAGTTTGATATAGTTACTTAAGTTCTTTAAGTAAATAAAGTTATACTGATAACGATTTGTTGCTAGTTGAAGAGGTCGCGTCTTTTTCAATCCGCTCATTCGTAGGAACATCGTATCAATAATTGCGTTACGAACATTACTAGAATGAATAAAAATTAAGAATCATTATCATATGTTACTTTTTATATACGGGTTTGCCTTTAATTAAAGCTTAGCAGGCTATTTTGGAGTCGCACTTAGATCACTGAAATTTCTCAAGGGAGAAATTTCCTAGTCTTGCACTGTCCGGCCGGTTTCACGAGTAAAATTGTCCTAAATTGCCGTGACCCTGGCTCGGGGTAGGAAATGGTATAATTCAGTTTGAGTCTGACTATCTCTCGCGTCTTACCCGGAGGTGGAAAAACAGTCGATGATATTACGCTTTCAAAAACAGATATAGACATAGGTAACAAACAAAGACGTGCCCTCTTTGTCTTCTCGAGTAAGACAGAGAATAATATTGGGACCTAAAAGGAGGAGAATACTAAAATAAAAGTTAATGATTATTTATTTCTGAAAATAGGCTACCAAAACAGCATTTGCACGTTGATATTTTAAGGTTAAGCTAAATGACACCCTTATTTCCCATCTTTGCACAGAGACATAATAAAAAAAGAGGGGGTAAAAGTACTATACTATTCATGAATAAAGAATTGGTGGTTTAATTTTTACAGGTGATTGTGAACGAGCTGCACTCTCAGATCGAGTCACTGAATGACACGCTTGTCAAGATGTTGATGGCTCGGGATGAACTGCACATGGGTCAGGACTCCATGCTCGTCGACATTGAGGACTTAACGCGCTACTTGTAAGTTATATCAAAGTCAAATCAATTTTTTAAAATAGAACACGAAAGGCATTTTTGAAAGTCAAAAAAAAAAACACACAGTTCAACTTTGTGGGTGTTAGTCTGTCTTTTTGTTAAGCTATTCCCTCGTCCCAAAGTGTAGATTCCTATGGATAAGAAAGAGCAGGAAACTCCATAGTCGTCATCTTCTTCAATCAGTTTCACAATTCATTTTTGTTAATGATTTTGTCGGTTATGTTACCTGAGAATGGAGTAATAGTAACATTTAGTCAAAAAATCCGGAAAGGATAATAAAAAATATTTCGTCTTAAACACTCGTCACGTCGTACACATCTCTCACATTATGTTATTTTTACATTGTCTGGACTTGAAAAGAGACTGACCTCTGAGTTTGTTTCGGCATTTCTTCTCAGAGTAGTCAAATAGGAAATGCCGGCTTCATCTAGTTTTTCACATATAAATTGACGTGTAAAAGTGCCGTTTTATGGCAAAAAACATGCACATGTAATGCTTTTCAAAGCTCAAAGTCACATTTATTCCAACTTAACTATATACTAGTACTTACATACAATATTTGTCCGAAAGTCTGCCCGTCAGGGAGGCTGTCCGTTCCCTAATTTATATTAGAATAGAAAGAATGAGGTAGAAAGTCCATAGTTACATAATAAAATAATATTAACACAATTGTCAGACGTGATTGTTGCGGGTCAAATTGAACAACACACTATATAAGGCCAAATTTACTGAATATTAATTAATCTGCCGTTATTTCAATAGACTATGCCATCTTATAGGCCATGCCATTCGAATTCTATAGAAAATAGATAAAAAATAACCCATCCAAACACTTCAAAATTGAATGATGGTGATAATTGTCAGTTTCGATAAAAACTTAAAAGTATTAAGGCCGTTAACAATAAAGCATTCAGCCTTTGAAAGTTTTTATTATCTTTGTTATAAAGTAATAGTGACGTCACACTGTTGATACTAAGTAGTTAGACTTAAAAAGCAAATAGTCAAGGAAAATTCCCAAGGTTTATAATAAAATAGATTTTTTATTCTTTTTGTTTTAATATCTTGTGTTTATTATTGTTTCGGACTTAGATACTCGACTTTCAATTTATATGATCGAAATCTTGAAGAGTTTGAAATCCCGGAAAATGAGGATCAAGAACCTTCCGAAGAAGTAGTTGTAAACAATGATATTAATATGTTTTTACATAGTACTTGATCAGTAATATCATATATTAGACATCATTTCTAGTACCTATTATTTATACACAATCTTTGACTCATGTTACTGTAATTGATCTTTGTTATTAAGTTGAATTTGTATTGTTGAAAAGTCGTTGGTTTAAAAATATGTTCAATTGTTGTAGGTATATTTTAAACAAATATGCTTTACTCATTTAGTTTCCACGTAACGGTATATGTTTTGTAGTATTGTACTCGTAAATAGGTAACAAATGTTTGAAAGTAACTGCATAGTAGTGATAACAATGAATATTGAAATTGTCATTATTAAATTAATTTGTCTTAATTTTTCCAGGGGTGTCAAGGAGCAGACTAAAAAAACCAAAGGCACTACTAAACCGGCTATGAGGAGGCTCACATCTTTAGTGCACAAATAAGTACACAATATCTTATCGTTAGGCTTATTATAACTGCGATCTATCTATTTAGTAAATACACAGGTGGTCACCGAGACATGTCTAGCAGTGCGAGAGATGGATATACCCTTAAAATGACTTTTCAAACCTCAAATACTCGTATGGAAACAGAAAGGGGCAACGATTCTATATGCATGTGTCTTTGTTTATACACCATGCATTTGTCACATGTTAAGAAAGTTCACACTAAATTGTAGGAGTAAAAACACTGTGTATAGAGCTGTTGTACTGATTACGCTTAAAAGTCTTAGTACAGTTGCCAGCGTATCAATGTACACCTTTCTGTCCAACTTTTTTTTATTTGATTTTTAACTTTATCCTTTAGGTATAAAATTGAAAATCCAATAAAAAATAATACAGAAGTACGTTGACACGCTAGCCAATGTAGTAAGGTAATGGTTTTATGATCTAAATAGCTAATTTCCATATTATACCAGTGAATACGAGTATTGAAGTTCATGCTTGTATATCTATCTCCGTACTGTATTCCTATATAAAATTCTACATTGTCGTACAATTTACGTGACAGCATAGCAAAATGTTCAAGGTCGCGGCTGGAGCCGTAGCGAATTTAGTGTGGCAACTGTAATGTTACAACATTGAGATAAAACTGAGTTTTATATTTTAGTAACGGATACACTTGATTTCATTTACTAGTCTTCTAGTACAAATTAAATGGAAAAGGTTTTAGTTCATATTTTAGAAGGCCTTTCTGGTAACTATAATTAATACATTTTAGTGCGACAGTAATATATTCCCATTCCACAACTTTGAACTTACAATGGGACATGTAGTTACACATGTAAAAACTCAATATATAAAATTACATAAGCTCTGAGTGTAATCTGGGTAAAGATGTCCTATGTCCAGAACATATTGACTTATTAGAATACTAGCTGTCAATAAATGTATTCAATTACAATACACATTGAAGCTTACGTTACAATTCGTCAGACGACAGTGTTTGACATTACAGTCGCCAGAGCAACGCCGCGACCCAATTGTTTACATGACACTACAACCGATGTTAGCGCATTATATGTATATACTGATTCTTGTTAGCAATCCCTGTCGGTTACCCTTATTATAATAAATGTGTATATCAGATTAACTGTATATTCTAATACATGTCCGCTTTAAATAGATACATACTTGTTAACCCACCTAAATATTATATATTTTACAATAATTCGCAGATTAGATAAATATTTTTTTCAAAATAGTGCTCATTGTTATTTATCGATAATGAATCTATGCCTTTGGTATGAGGAGGCTATTGTGGCGGTATTGTTATGCTTGATTTGTTACTACTATTATTAATTAGGTATATTCACAAACATAGGGAGTATACATTCAGTTTAGTCAATGTTGTACGTTTTTTAAAAAAGTGCAGAACATAAACTGTGTACAATTGAAATTTATAAAAAATACAATTTATATTTGACTGGGTGTATACTCGTAGCCCTATAGGCTGTCTTCAAATCGGTCTTCACTTGCTTACCGATATCTGACCCAAAATCCAGCCTATGGGGCTAAAAACTTAACTATATTTATATTAAAACCTGCATGGTTTGAATTTATCTGTATACGATCTAAAACTATAAAAAGCATTGCAAAATTTTGTAACTGGCAAGTTTTATAAAAGCACATTCATGTATGTATGTGTGTATTACTTTAAAATGCAATAAGTGAAAAAGTGGTTTATACATACACCGCATTTTATCTCGTCGAAGGCATAGATAATTATATTTTGAAAACTAGTATACTCACAGTATATACAGGTAGGCATGTAGAGATGCACATGCCGTCGATCATGTCCAGTGATCTTATCGGAGGCTTGTAATGAATGTAGTTTACATACTAAATAACTAACGGAATGCAAATCGGCCGCTACCTGCGATTATCTCGTCAATACACTCATAATTTACTACCTAACAAATAGACAACCTCTTTCGTATTCAATATCAACTCGTTATCAAAAGTAATATTTTATATATTAATTGTGTGTCATAGTTGTTTAATATCATATTCAATTACTTTATATATAATATCTAATAAAAATGTAAATAAATTCAACATAATACGTGTTATTATATACATCTGTCAGTATTATACTTATGATCACAATGTAAGTCCAAATAATTATACCAATGTTAGGTAGTACTCTCCACGTTTGCATTCCAAAGATCTTCTCTTAAGTGGTTATTTGTTGTGTAATTATAACTATCAAACTATATACATATATCAGCAAATAGAAATTAATATTTCTTGCCTTATCAAAATAATTTAATCTCGCTAAGCTCTAAGCAATTCGTCGGTGATACATAAACACTTATTCTATTTACAATAATTTACAATGTTAATTAGTTATGTACTTGCTTGTATCGTTATAACTCTGAGTAAATTATGATCCTAAAGTTGAACAGATGCGACATTTTGCATGCGCAAACACTTGACAGCGCTTGTTAGTTGCGCAACGTTTGCGCAGCTAACCTGAGCTAACGTGAACATTACCGACTAATGAAGTATTTAATGACACTAGCATTAGGGTGATTCTTCACATCAATTAAAAAAATTTAATAATGTCATTATCCTCAACCGAAAATTAACGAGTCTGCTGATTAAAACACAGATAATTATTTTATTAAATTAAATCTCACCACTGCTTACATGCAACCGATTAAAAATATTGTATAAAATAAATTACTAAGATGCTTAAAAACCTGGGAGGATAATGACTTGTTAAATAAAAGTTAAGGTTTTTTGGAGAATCACCCATTAACGGTGTACGATGGTTGTCATGGCTTGCGATACTCAAAACATGTAAAAATGAAATGTTACAAGACTCAAAGAAAACATTTTAATATTTTCGTCCACCTAAATAACCACAAATCAACCAAAAATAAGATACTCAGTTTTATAATAATATTACTTCTAGGTACTGATTGGAATGACACCAATGTTATCGGTTTTTCTAAGTATTTATAGGCCTCTTAATTAAAACAAAGGTGTATCATTAATGGTAGTTTATTTGTCGTGGTTTAACAGCTGATTGTTTAGGATATTGTTATTATTATTATTCATCTATTCTTCGTTTATATCTTGGGATCTCAAGTATTATTCCTACTATTGTGTACCTATTGATATTAAGTATCTTTCTTACTTTTCTATATTATATAGTAAATGTATTGTATGTTATTGGGTATAGTCAGTTGATGAAATAATTTTCACAAATGCTGGCGTTATCTGATAGGAAGTTTTGCTGTGCTAGATTTAGTTACCATTATTGTTAGTTATATTTTATTTACGATTTCTTGCATGTTTCTAAGATGTTTTTTGTGTGAACGAGGGCTTGGTATAGTCGTTATAGTGTATGACTTATATTCCTTGGAGAATTGATGGTAGACTAAGTGCGTTTCAGCGCATACAATTCACGCGTGGTGTTCTAAGCGAATAATTATCTCTCTTCCATAGATCAACAAATCTGCGTAAATGTTTCCCAAGACAAGATATTTTCATAGAATGACTGTACCAAGACTTATCTTAACTAAGTACCTTTGTCTCTAAATTGTTTTTCTACAAGCATACTATACGCATTTATTTACCTAAATGTTAGTTCAGTTGAACACATGAATTAAAAATGTTCTGAATAATTAAATGTTGGAAATAGGATTACCTTCAAAACTAATAGTAATGCAAATGTGCACCCTATACGCACTCCTCTAAGATTTCAATGTTCCGTTAGTTATGCAATGTTAGTATAGTAACATAATATTGTTTGTGTAAATTATATTTTTGTAACGTCCACAACCGTTACAGTAACAAGGTGATATTGTCAGGCTGATATTACCGGTATTCTTTAAACGCCACGAAATATGGTAGTTCTTTATTCCTTACTAGGTTCCTTCTAGGTTACTATATTTTACGATCATTGAGTACAGGTGCACTCGAACTCATTCAAAACATTAATACAATGTATTCATCCTGTTTGCAAATGTTATTCAGATAATCTTCTGATATTATTACAATTTTATGTCTCATTACAAGTGTGTTAAAAGCTCCATTGACGTTAAATAACTGTAAAAAATAATTGAATATTCGTCGTTGCATCAATATTATCACTGGATCCATTAATTGGATGAATATATTATGTAAATTATTTATATAAAAAAGATAAACTTGAAATTAATAAAAGTCCTTTTGGTACAACTATAAAATTTTGTAAACTGGATGACAAATTATGAGCTCAATATTGAATACATCAACAATAGTTTCCAACATTTTTATATGGCAACTTATAAAATTTTATATATTTTTGTTAATGATTGTTACTGAGTTACAGGGAGCAACAGTTGAATTAAACAGAGCTTTGAACTGCTAAATATATAATGAAATTTATGAAATGTTTACTTATGATTGTCGACAAAGTTTCATGATATCGATTAAGTACGTTTTTGTTTTATTTTATTCTGTAATGTCGGTCCGCTATGATGGACCGACTACCGACGTTCGTGGTGAATGAATGCTTGGCGTGCTTATTGTCAACTCTTACCGACATGTGATAAAATATTATTGAATATTCTAAATAAACGGGAAAGTGTTTACATGGACTTTCATTTTTGACTACCTTTTCGTCTCGGCAAAGGAAGTTTTTAATAAACACATTATAAATAATTGGTTCGATGGGGATCATTCGATTATCTATTGCAATGCATGAAATAGGTAAACATGGTTGCGTTTAATGTGATAGAGAACCTAATGCCTTACTACAGTGTCCACCGAGCGTTCAGCCGGCGGGAAAAGCGCAGTAAGGTACCGCGACGTCGGCCCAGAGCAGAAGAAGAAACGGGGGGTATTTAGTCAGAAAGAGTCTGACATTCCCTCCCGCCCGACCATGGACGGGAGAATTAATTTGATGATTATCCATCCCCACACAAAAAACGGTCCTCCGAGCGTGTTCTAGACTAAGTTATATTATTGAGAAAATTTAGAAAATTTTAAACCTGTGTGAAAAAAATCTTTTCGCATTATTGTATGTATGAACTTGTTGTAATAAAATATTATTACAATATACAATATACAGCTACTATGTTTATCTGGCTGGATTTGGTATCATTGAAAGTTTAAGTTCTAAAGAATATAATTCTAAATTAAATAACAATTAAGAAATTTGATTATTTCAAAATTTTACTACAAAAAAACAAGACGCGAGATGTTTATGGATCTAGTGCAGTGCCTGTGAGGGGAGCACTTTCCAATCCAGAAATTATGATGCCAAAAATCCATATCGTTCTGGTTGCCCTATTACTAATAAAAATAAAAATCCACGATATTTGGATACCTCACGCGTTCACTGAAAGAAACCCAATGAACCGTATAGGTACTTATTTGTGATTCTTTATTGTGATTAAATTTATAATCGTCTGGTATTTATTAACATTTAGCGTCATACCATTGTTCAAACACCAATTTTGAAGGACATTTAAATCATTCTGAAATTTCAAACAATCATTATGGTCCGATATTCTGTAGTATAGTTATTACTATTACATTAAAAAACCTACTCCAAGAAGAGAGCACGAAACCAATCCATTTACGAAAAGATTTGAGGCAGGGAGACGTGATTTCTCCGAAACTGTTTACCGATGCATTAGAGGACGTTTTTAAGCTCTTGGACTGGAGCGGACTAGGAATCAATATCAATGGCGAATACATCACTCATCTACGTTTTGCCGATGATATAGTTGTCATGGCAGAGTCGTTGGTGGACTTAAACACTGCTCAGCGACCTCAATACCATTTCCCATCAGATGGGTCTGAAGATGAACATGGGTAAGATGAAAATAATGTTAAATGACCATGTCGCACCTGTACCCGTTATCGTTGGAAACGATAATCCTCAAAGTTGTAGACCACTATACATAGGTATCTAGATCATCTAGCTAGGTAGGTCCACTTTTGATAAAGAGGTCGCCCGAAGAATCCAACTCGGATGGGCAGCGTCCGGGAAGCAACATGTGTCGTAAGCAGCGGTAAGACTCCTCTTTGAGAAGTGACATGAAGATGCCATAGCGTTTTCACCTTTCGCCTGACGCAGGTGCTTACCGTCTATAAGTACTTGACAAGTACTGTAGTAGTACCTACCTGGCAAGTACCAATGTGACTTTTTCCGAGTTATATGTGCTTTCTATGATTATTTAGACACCACTGTCATACGGTGAAGGTAAACATCGTTAGGAAATCTGGACTTATAATTTCTAATTATAAGTTTGAAATCGCCAACCCGCTTTGAGCAAGCGTGGTGATTAATGCTCTAACCTTCTCCATTTGAGAAGAGGCATTTGCTCAGCAGTGGGCACTTATAGGCTGATGATGATGATGATGAGGTGCTTACCGGGCACGACAACTTCGGTAGGTTCCTGTTTCAGATCCAGTGGGAGGAAATGCCCAAGTGTCGTCATTATGAGGACCACCCAGAAGACATGGTCGAGCAAACGTGGCAGTGTGCCCTGCTTGAGCTGAGCACCGCTGTGTCTTCAGGGAAGTGATCGACGGAGGCGACCTGCGGGCCCGGCCTTAGTCGAGGCATTGGTGCGGAGCGAGAGGAACTAGGAAGCTGTCTCCTCTTTCTGTGAAGCAGTTGTGCTCGCAAAGAAGTAAGCGGAGCGCGTGAAGGAGCTATCGTCCGTCCCACGCCCCAAACGCCGCAGTAGCTGACATTCCTTGCGTCAGGGATCATAAACGATCTCCGGCCACGGGTCTGCGGACGGCGAGTGAGGGTAGCTCGCCGCCAGACCAGAACCAGACCCAAACGTCGTAGGGCGGTATTCAGCCGGGGTTGTGGGGTAAGAGAGAATTATTAAAACTGTATTCGAAACAAATGTGAATTTGTTTATGAATAAATGAAATTAAAGAGGCCTCGGCATAGAGCAGGAGAAGGAACGGGGTTTTAGTCAATAAGAGTCTCACACTATGGGCGGGAGAAGTCATTTGATATATTAAAAAACAAAATACGTTGCCCGAGACTGGGAATTTCTTCTGTGTCGTAGGTGCGTTTACAAACATGAAATTCCACATACACATCACACCCAGACCCGGAACAACAATTCGCGGATCACACAAAGTGTTGTTCCGGGTGGAAATCGAACCCACGAAACGTACGCGGCAGCTTTACGTACGTACGGTGTACGGCGCAGCAGGTTGCCCAGCCATCGCCTCAACCGTGCAGTCAGAATAATAATCCCCTTAGGGAAAAAAAGCTCTTAAAATCTGCAAGCTGTAGTGGTAATGGGCAGGCCACGTCGCTCGAACGGACTGACGGCCGATGGGTCAGAGCAGTTCTCGAGTGGTGACCACGAACCGGAAGACGAAGCGTGGGAAGACCTGCTAAGTGGACCGACGACAGTTAGAGTCGCGGAGAGCCAATGGATGCGAGTGGCGACTGTCGTTTGGCGTGGAGAGCTAAGGAGGAGGCCTTTGTCCAGCCGTGGACGTTTTCCAGCTGATGATGATGATGAAAGAATGCTTTGAATTTTGTAAAAAAAATGCGAATGCGAAATTATATTTTTTCGTCATTTTTTAAATGTTTATTAGGTATCATATTTTTGGTCATATTAGATGAAAACAGGTCTATTCTTATTATCTACACACTAGCTAGTTTTCTCTCGGTGCAGAGGCTAAATCAAGAGACTCTAAAATATTGATAAATATGAAATATAAGGGAATTGTCTCCTATGCCTGGTTTAAGCGCAGGGTTAGCTAGCTTTTTCTGAAAATCTAGTACCTTATACACGTATTCGTTATCGATTAGTTTCTAGATCCTCCATCCAGCTTAGCAGTATCCTAGTGCGAGATATTTATATGTTAAAGTAATTGAAAAATTTATGTTTAGCAGTTTGGTACTTTAATTGGTAGCACTCTTTGATTGGGTTTAATTCAAATTGAATAAATTGAAGATCACACTAACGTAAAACAAACTCGCATTAGGCTCTCACTACCTACCAGCAACCACTTACTTGTGCAACGCCTGGATTCCTATGAATAGGTTATGAGAATCTCCATAATTAGATACTTGTAAATACATTTAAAACTGACAGATGAAATGTTTAGTTTTATAACTGATTTTTCTTCAGCGTAGGCTACTTCAATATTACCTAAGTACCTAAGTGCATGAGCTGTTTAATTTATTCAAGGCGTGTTTAACAATTCGGTTTTATTTGCTATGCCCCAATAGGACGGTGTCTATTCTAAGTCAGCCCTTTAAAAAAAAACAAAAGGCTTCAGATATCTTCACCATTGAGCCAATTCTTAATTAAAATGCAATTACTAACGAACTTGCTTAAAAATCTAAGAATGATATAATCTACACAACAATGAACAAACAAACAAATAAAAAAACTATAAAAAACACTTAAACCATTATCTATTTATCTCTTCGTGGTGTCAATTCCCACAATTCTTTATAATGTTGTATGGTCAAAAGCATGGCTGACCCCAAATTGAAACAGTCACCTGCAAGCCCAGGTGCGTACGCGCAATTAATATCATCCTCTAATAATAGATACACCTCGCAACAATAATTTATTTGTTTTATTGTCTTTATCGCTAGCGAAGAATTCGACACGTTAATCGCATAAACTTGAAATATATTGTTTCCTTTGTCGCGAATTGTTTCAAAATATTCTTTATCTAAATTGAAAATATAGGAGGTGATATGGGAGGGTTTTTGTTTTATGGGGTGTATTAATTGTGTGAATAAACACATTTGCAATCTTATCGTTATTTATTGGTCAACTAAACAGTTTGAGGCAAATTAATTTCCTGTGGGAACTAATGTAGTATCACTACAATTTTCTTTTAACAGATGAGTTATGGGCGAATTGGTCTTAGTTTCGGAGGTATTTTTTTAACTACAAATTACATTTTTAATTAAGAATTCTTTTTTTATTTTATGTGCTATGGCATAACCAAGACCTCCTTCCTACAAGGTAGCCTCATTGCTAGGTAATATCGTCACTTTGATTATGTATAATATTACCTAAACGCACCCACGCGTACATAATACGTACCTACACCAAGTGTGATTTAACGTGTGATTAGTTGGTGCGTCATGTGTTGTATTTATAACCGTCAAAGCTGTTAAAATTATCGCGGAGTTGATCGGCTTGAGGAGCATGCAAATCACCGCACTTGGCCAGGAGCGGCATGCGGGCCCTCACTACCGGCATGGGGAGACTCGGCTTATATTTACATAATTACCTTTATAACATACATAATCATGTTTTACAGTTTTCGATATTGGTCGAATTATCAATGTTATCGTTTACTATCGTATAAGTTACCTAATCATCTTTGATACATTTATTATTACAAATTAACTCTAGTATTCCAGCAATGATGTCAGGGGACTAATTAATAGCAAACATTTAATACACATAGTCCATGCTCTGATCTAAATATATCACTATTGATAAAGAGGCATTTTTAATGATTTAATTACACAAGATATTTTTTATATGATAAGATCGGCAGATGTATTACTTGATGGTAAGCAATCAGCGCCGCCCATTGACACCCGCAACAACAGAGGAGTTACGAGTGCGTCGCTGACCTTTTTATCGGAAAAGTCATTTGATCATCAGTCAGGTGATTTTCCCGAAGAAACCCGTTTTAAGTGGGCACGCCACACGAAACGTTATCATTTTCTCAATTCCTTTGACACTTAAAATAATTTAAATTAGTTTAGTAGTAGTTTATTATACCAATTGCCAACCTTATGACAATAATAAGATAACACTCTTATCGATAAAACAATAGGTGTTCTCCGGAAAAAAGGATTGTTACAGCGATATTTTTTCTTTTTCCTCTCGATAGTGAGTATACTAGAAATTGTTATTTATGGACTCTGAGTAGTGGCTTACTTCGCTGAGTTAGACAAGAGCGCAATTCATTAACTTGTATTTCATCCCTGATTGTGTATAAAATGAGTTTTTTTTTCTCCTTTTTAGTGTTACTAATTTTCATTCCTCATTTTATGTGGAACTGTAGTGCTATTTTCCCCGCAACCACTCCAACACCAAGCTGTAGAGTTCAATGTCAGTGGTAGGGTCGATTCGCGGTTGAGCCATACGGGCGCCCGGTGACGTCCACACATTGTTATTGTTTATAAAACCTCACTGACGACAGATCATAGCTGCTGACAAATAATTTCTGAAAAAAAGTAATTTCAAAATTTTGCACGCTTCAAATTGGCTATGAGTTATAATCCGTGTAGGGTGAAGCACAATGAACCCCATCAACCGAAAAATGATTAACTAGCGATTACACTGACGGATGGGCGGCGCGCGCGCACTGGCTTCTCCAACCACAGAGCCAGCAATCTATTACAGTTCTACAGTCTTTTAAGGTGTTATAATTTTTAAGGAAAAAAATTGAATGTTTAAAAATTAATACATTACGTTACTTTGTAGCTGGAAATGTTCTGATTTTCTTGTTCTCAATTAAAAGCAAATAACTCAGCATGAATGTAAATCGCATACTTTGCTCTGTGTTTACAAAAGCAAAACTAGAAAATCGACTAATGTAAAACTTGGAAATCAATTTTTGACTTAGCATATTTTGTCGTACAAGCTGAGGAAGCTAAGTGCTATCTGTCCGTATTTTATACTATGGTTTACAGTTTCACCGGTGAGTGAGCAGAGCGTTGGATGCGCGGGCGCACGTGCCGCGACATATGGCGGCGCCATACTGTTTGTTTGCCAATCATAACGGACATATTTCATCAGATAACGGCCCACCGCCTCCGACATATTGCTTGCATCTAAAACAATGTGTAACAATTAAAATGTCGACACGTTACGGAATTAATCTCGCAAACGATTCGTCATGGCTCTCATCGGAGATGTGAGGGGGAATCTCCATAGATGATCGTTAGTAATGACAATATTCGGAGGCTCGTATCCAATTATCATTGATGAATTGATTACTTTGGATAATTGATTGCGTGCTAAGAATAGATTAAAATGATGGAAAGATCTTTGTCACAATAGTATAAATTTTAACGGGTAATTCCATTGTCCACTTTTACTCCCTTAACCTCAGATTTTAAAAACAAATACAAAGTCACAATTCGTCGTTTAAAGTATTACATACTAAGATTACGGTATAACGTAACGACTAAAAAATTAGAAAATGAGCTCATAACGATTTTAGAAAATATAAGTAAGCCTATAAAATCACGCCCTCCGTTTAAAATTACTATCCCAACTAGGTATATGTAACGTACACCTATTTCCAGAAAAACAAATTTGACTTCTATGTTTTCACGTCAAGAACTTTACGTACAAGTAAATAATAAAAAGGAATATCTCAGCGAATGACACATTCGCGTGTCGACGTGTGTAACATCGTAACGGTACATAAACTCGTAGTTTTAAGTGCAAACAATTATCCTAACACCAGGCTCGTCCCTTGGTTAGGTTCCCCCGTTTCGTTGAATGAGACCAATTGATATAACCTGTAATTTGGGACGGGCACGGGCGCGGGCGCATGGCAGCCACCATATGGCGCTTCATCGTCAGCGATTCGAGGGACGACCACCGAACCTTGCAGACGGTATGACGAAACATAGATGTTTGAAACTAGAACTGTCTGATTTTTGTCATCAACATGGTTTTGCATTAGTAAGTACAAACGTAAGTAAAGGAATACGTTTAAGATGACTTAATTAATTCAATTTACAATCCTTTTGATCAATGTAATGGTATTTAAGTGTAACTGTGGAGTAGGTACGGATAAAGTAATTGGCAATTTGAAATCTGAGAGTATGCAGGTGAGTATGCAGTCTACAATCTTGCAAAAAGGGTTGGACGTTCCTACATTAACAATGAACAAGTTAGAGAGTAGGTTGTCGTATTTTGATGCCTTAACTTAGAGGCCGCTGCAGGAATAAGTACAGTTAAGTAGTAAACACACTAAACACACTACTGGAACTGAGCTACAAGGGTCCTATTAAAAAAAACTATTTTTGATAGGAGTCTTGTGAACTGAGCTTGTAGTTCAGTATGTTAAAAGTATGTGAGATTGCAAATTTGTTTAATACATTTTCAGCATTTTGATTCAAATAACATCGATTATTTAAACTCATGTAAAATAATTAAAGAGCTTATTACATTAGAAACTAAAGTTCAATTTTTATTACACATTGAATACTTAAAACGTGATTGACACAAAATAGTATTAAGGCACACTCGTAGATAAATGTGATTACTGAAAAATTTTCCAATTCATAAAGACGAGAATAATACTACTACTGACAACTGAAAATCATAATTATATCTTTATACGTTAACTAATTATTTAAATTTTTAAATACATTCATTTGTGAATAAATATTTGTAATGGGCATAATTCGACCTGGAAAGAACACGAGCTATGCAACCTGCATTTTTACAACACACGACAATGCAGTAAATAAATTAAACATAGGATAGCTTGTGTCCATATATTATAGTGATTACTTACCTACTGAAATGCTAAAGGTGTTGCCAGTAAATAAAAACGGTCTGAATAAATTTAACTCAGCAATCGTGCCCGATCCAGTAACAAAGTAAGTTCGCCCGTAGACGGAGCGCAACCCCACGACTTTTTTAACAACAAAAAAAAGTTCTTGGATTTTTTAGAATATCATAAGGCGTCTTATAAAAAATGTCGCGGTTTTGTTTTACACATGACTCTACGTAGAGAAAGTTTTATTGAGAGCCCCCATAGATGTTATAAAAAACTTCAATAAAAGGAAAAAACATGTTACCCAAATAGTCGACGAATACACAATTAATCTAAGTTTTTTTTTTATACGTTAACCGGTGAACAATATAATATGTAATTATTTATCATACAATGTCCTTCCATAATAAGTACTAAATGCTAAAAATAAAACTGCGTGTACGCGTATTGATCTACGATGGATAACTCGCTCGTTGATGTCTTTTGTACTGCGTTTCGTGTGTATGAAGTTTATGCCACATATATTATCTATACTATATTATCTATACAAATAGAGCTAATAATATATGTTCGAATATCTATTAAGTGACGAAACGTCAATATTATTATATTTTAATTACACACAATTACAATTACATTACGGTTACGGATATTTTAGTTATAAAACTTACAGGAATTCAGTACGAATCTTGTGTCGATGTTTAGTTTTCAAAAATATTCACGTAATGCAAAGCAACCAGTAATCTTATAATATAACTAACAAACTTAATGATTTACATCGTGGGAAAATTCGTTGTGAACCTGTTAAGAATAAATAAAAATGGCAGCTCCATTTGACGGTTAGCCCGGATCCTTGTACCGTCTAATGTTATATTGTCATTATGTTATGTACTGTATTACATAACCACTATTCCTAAGTGAATTCCCATGTTCGGCACACGTGTGTGTTTTATTAAACCACCGAGTCAATTGAGTGTGAAACCAACCTGTTTAGTAAGTATGGAATGAAATGGAGAGTGAACGAGTGCGCATCTTGTCAACCTGTAAAATGCTGTGAGTGCTCCTGAACACGCGTGTTGCGTCAAAGTCAAAATCATTTGTTTCAGTTAGACCCTTACATGCAATTTTGAACTTGAAACAAAGCTTAAAAATAAAAATTGTCAGTCTGTCAGCTCTTAGTGAAGCTTAGAATTGACGATTGAGGCCGTGGTTATCCTAATGTCGAAAACTATATTTTTCTATGAATTTTTTTTAGAAAACACAAGCTTGTGGCCGTCTTATTACCTATATCATTCATCATTCACTGAAAATTAGCTAGATACACAAATTATAAAGTGGAGTATTTTAAACCATTTATTATGAAACATTGAAATATTACTATAAGTTCTATTTTTAAATATGGTACATATCCATATTTTTTTTATTATTATCCAAAACGACTTACTCACGTTAAAATCTTGAGAAAATCTCTATTATCTTTAAGTCACAACGGGACCTTTTTTACAGAGAAGCATGCAATGCGTTGCGTGGCGCGTTGTGCGGTTTGCCATGTGTATATTGATCATAATAAAAACGGGCTTGTGATGTGTGCTTATCTAAGTTTCAACTTAATTTTCATAACAAACTCTTTGATAAATTTGCCTGGTCAATTGTTTTCTTACACTGAAATTTAGTTGGAAAATTTGCGTGTTTCTTCATCGAGTTAATTATTAAGTTGTTGATTTGTAATAGCACTGTCGCTCATAAAATTGAGAGATGAAAGAAAGAAACCAATCACAAAAATGTGCTCGCTGATACTTTTAGTACTGTTACTTACATTGTAGATATTACTGCTATTAAGCTACTAAATAACGGATGCTGAGCTGCCAGAGTACGTTTGTCGCTCAAAGGCAAAATAAGTAAAAATCGGTAAAATATTTACATACTAAACATGGCCACGTCTTGCGTCGGAGATGGTAGCTGACAGTCAATAGGTAATTACTACAGATGCGATCTCGCTACGCTGGTATCTAAACAAGCTCTAAATATATCCTTAGATTTTGCAACATTGTCGTTTTGTAACACAATAAAGGAAAATATCAGTTTCGTGTTTACACAGTCCTGTTTATCTTGTTACATAATAATAAAAGAACTTTTTACAGAATTATCTTATTCAACATCATATCATAAATCTTGACTAACAATTATAGATAAGTTTATAGTCTAGACTGAAGTTAATACATTTAATCTTTAACCAAGCTAGTAGGTAACTGGACAAAGAAAGTACAGTAGATGCATAGGCTTGTTGTCTGTCGATTAACTCTGAAAGGTGGACGGCGACACGCGACGTGCGCCCGGCGTCCGACACCCGCGCTGCGCCCGCGTCGCCCGGCAGCGGCTAGATCCCACCACTTACCGGCTAACCCATTTATACGCCGCGTTGAAAACAGGACTAAATGAATTAATGCAAATTTATACTATAAAAATTGTCGCAGGTGCGCCAGGACGAGTTCCAGCCATCGTCGGATTCGATTTAACGCGCTTGCGCCGCGCGAAAGTTTTATTTATAACCACGTAGCCTGCTCAGCCATTACGCGCAACAAGCACTTGCGATTTGGCGAAAAATTATTCGCTTTCTACCTATTCCAGTACAATTATGTATTGTATGTTGTAACATTGGAATTTATTTATATTACTTTATTTACAAAACTGCACAATTTGATTGTTGTAGGATAATTTATCTGTATACCATGCATTCACGTTTTTCATTTCAATTAAATTCAATTAATATCTTCCAGTAGATTTGCAATTATACAACTATTAACTTGGTTTTTACAATTCGCAATAAAGCTATTTTATTTAGTTAAAATGTGGATATTAAATTGTGATTATTAAATACCTAATTGGTTGCTATAAGTACTCCCAGATTATGACTTTAAATGTAATTGAAATCGTAAAATTTTTATATTCATTGGTATAAGCTCGCCGTCAAAGTAACATTGAAATTAAATAACTTCTTCATCTGTTAATTGCTTCAATACAAACGATAACCAGACAACACATATACATTTTATGAGCAAATATAACTGCTATCTGGATTACTTAAATCTGTTTAAGACTTCGGGTCCCTAACTTTACATTTACCGGTTACATTAGCCGGTGCGACCTTCTTCTAATGAAGAAAACAGGAAAAGTACGTACGCAAGGAATCGTTACAGAAATAATAACAAAATATTTCATTCATAGACTTACATTGCTTACTTACATACAGGTTGTGCAGTGAAGTCCGTTGGATAATAAAGGCGGCGGCAGATGTTGCGACTGCGACTAGTGGACGCAGTCGGCCGCGACGCGTCGGTCACTACGCGACCGACGCGACTACTTGTCGCACAATCATAACACATGAATTTCATGGTCGTAGGTGTAGGTACTTAATTGAGGCTTTGTTGTGCCACAGCCACATGCCGTCGCCGCCGACACTTAATTGCAATTGGCTTCAATAATTACCAGACTGAATGACCGTGGCGAGCCAGCCATTTATCTGAAAACATCTTTATTACATCGTTGACAGCTTCTGATAGACAAAGAGACTGCAAAATTTCCTTTTAAACACTTGGTTCTTAAGCTTTTTTATAATAAAATACTTAAGTTTACCCAGACGATTCTCAAATATATGTAGCTGGCTGTCTTTATTTATTCAAGTGTACAATCTGAAAAATCTCGTGCAACAAATACTTTTTTAATGACTTACATATATCTTGAAAAATATGCACTAACATGATAAGTGTGCTATGCAAACGTTTTAGTACTCAATTCGAGCAGTTGCGATCTTTTGTTCGTTCACACAGACTGACTGTTCGTAGCTATTAATAAAATTACCAGTAGTATAAAGTCTAGGTCAGTAGACCACTTGAATTTTTTGCGGCATTTAAAAATAAGTTTAATTATTTTATTGGTGTTTGATGAGCGTAAACAAATGAATGTCATCATATCACCATCATCATGCTTATCGGAATGTTATTAAATATTTTGCGAAAGCATATACCAACATTGATTTTAATATCATACTAGTTAAGAACCGATATTACTATAAATAGTTAGATAGGGAGATCTTTCTTCGTGACTAAATTATGCATAACTCTTACAAGCTGCGTTAACCGTGATATTACCTTGTACATTTAGGGGGGTAATTTATATGTCGATCGACAATAATTATTGGTATATTATGTTAATTTATCGGAGGACTTCACAACCATGGCCGGTACCGTTCTATACCGTACCTATATCCATAAAATCTTGGAAATATCGTCTTTTTCGAATAGCATCGTGGTTACATACAATTTATTGTTGCAATATGAAAGCTTAGCGTTGGCACTCAGCTTACGTTTTTGCATATCTTTACGTACATATAAATGGAATCGTTAAAAGCATTTATGATACCAATTTGATACAGTCGGCAACGTTTATATAAAATGTTTCTTTAAATATTATTTTTAAATCATAGATTTAGGGGATTTTTACAGAAAAGGATTAAGGAAAAGTAATCAAATGTAAATGGAATGAATCGTCAAATATTTTCGTAATACTGTTCCTTCTTCAAAAAAAGTGTTTCTCTACTTTTCAAAAATTTTTTTTACAAACATTTTGAAAATGAACAATTACAACTACGTATGTAGTATAGGTAAATTGTTGGAGGAATACAAATTTTGGGGGATAAATTTTACATTGTTATAGGTACCTTGCATACCTAAAAGAGTTATTTCATAACATAACACATCAATATATTTTTTTGTAATTAGTTTTTATTTTAAAATTTAAATACCTAATAGAAAAATCCAACATAAAAACTTTTCTTGCAAAGTGTACTCAAATATAATTTCTGTCTAGAAGATTAAGCGGTCAACGGAGGCTCGGTGCAAACGTATGTATGGAATGGTGTAACATTGATACGCTAACTGAATTTTGTATGCTTAGCGAGCGATCTCTGATATCCAATTAATGTGGGATAATTAGCGGTTTGCATTTTTCAAATAACTTGCATGTGTTAAAACTTGTTTTTAAAGCAATATTGCGATGGGTTCTTTACATAAACATTTTGCATTTGTAGGTATCTGGTTATTGAATGGGGAATCACTTTGTGTTCGCGATTATTTCTTCATTCTCCAAAGAGAATCTCTGGAATTTAAATAAATACTAATATTCTTTAGTTTATTGCATAAATAAGAGATGAAAAATTCGAGATCTTGTCCGATATACTACAATCCTAAGTATTTTTTTTAATCTTTGATCTTTCCTATTTTATTCGATAAGCTATTTATAGTTGTAGGTATAGATACAGGCTTTCTAATTATTTTATAAATCCTTGAAACTATCATGAAATTAATAATAACACATACATAGATTAAGTTAAGCGGCGAATAGGTACAAATGTGCACATCGTGTGGCTGTGTTGCGGTGATCATCGAAGTTAGAGGATCTAATGACGTCATTACATAGCTGGCTTAAAGTCATGTACTGGTTGAAAGTGAAGATGAGCCGGAGGCGACACGGTGTAATGGTGAAGGAATGGGGCATGCGCAGGCGCGGTGCGGCGGGAGCGAGCGCAATGTGCGCGCGCGACCTTTTGCACGTAATTACTAGGCGCGTGCGCTCTCTGGGCAGTCGCACGCACCGTCCGCTGATACCCGCTACCCGCTGCCTGCTTACATATATGGAAACAGCTACTTTATACACACTCGCCCTTTGATTAGCATTTTTTGTATTTGATTTTAATCACACTGGTTAACAAAGTGTTTTATTATACTCGGTGCCTTTTTATCAATAACGACTGAAACGTTTCTTGCGTGTTTTTGCCCACCAACATTACGATTGACGTGTAATTAATCATTGAAGTTGTCCTCTGTCATATTTTCACGGCGTAATTTTATAAAATGTTCTAGATTACGCTTTGACAGCTTTTCAAACACTGTGATAGTAATTATGTAGATTTAAAAAACTGGCTTGCCTCATGCTTGAAATATTTTTAAACATAATATTATATTAATTACATAAATTTATTAGATTTTAGATTATACTAAGTATACTGGTGGGTTCTCTACGTTTCTGGTGGAAGATGGGGCTACACCCAAAGCATAGACGGTACGATATTTGGTTGTTACATAGAAATGACATATGTATTACTACTTATACTACTTTCTTGCAATTGATTCACGTTTTTTGTTATTTTACCTCTCCTGTACTTCTACAAATATTTTCGGACTAAAATTTATCAAATCAGTCGAACCGTTAACGAGTTCTACCGAGACTAACAAGAAGCTTATCATCTCTATATACAAAAGAAAGTCGTGTTATCCACTTATAATTCTTTATTTCTTTCTTCTTTCTTTTCTTTAAAAAAAAACGTTGCCACACACTAGGATTTTCTCCTGTGTCGTGGGTGCGTTTACAAACATACAATTTCACATGCACATCACACCCAGAACCGTGACAATAATTTGTGGATCACACAAAGAGTTGTTCCGTGCGGGAATCGAACTTATAATTCAAGAACGGCTGAACCGATTTAGCTGAAAATTGGCAGGGCAGTAGTTTAGAGCCAGGAGAAGGACATAGGATAGAGAGTAGGTAGTGTAGGTTAGATAGACTAGGGTAGGTAGAGTAGGGTGGGTAGAGTATGGTAGGTAGAGTAGGGTAGATAGAGTAGGGTAGATAGAGTAGGATAGGTAGAGTAGGGTAGGCAGAGTAGAGTGGGGTAGTCAAATGACGGCAGCGACGCCGCGGGTAAGAGCAAGTTTTTATTTCTTAAAAGAAAAAAGAGGACAAGAAGAAGAAAATTGCGATGTCTGACAAATAATGTTTCATTACTCCTGGCAGTGGCCTATATTATTATGTTATCCTTATCCATTCAGCTGACTTCAGCTCATAAGTAGGTACAATCCAAACGTCTTCCCAAATTTTCACATTTCTAATATACTATTTATACATAGGTTAATACATACATATAATCATACTTACAGTTTATCTAATTTATTGATTACACATTCCGCTTTTTGTACATTTCGTTTACATATAGGTATTTTCTCCAGCGGCTTGGCCTTTATAGTATTTAATAGTTTGCTATAGAATTTATACATTACCTAAATTGTGTAATAAAGAAACATTGTTTCATATCATTTCAATAGTTTACAAACATAATCAATGTTATCTTTCATCTTTTATATCATTGAAGCAAAGAAAAAGTATAATTAAGTACGTGCATACAGAAACAAAATATATTTTTTATAAATAGTGTTTATAATTGTCCAATTTTTCTGTATGAAAAGTGAAAATAAAAAAAAAACGTTTTCATCAATTAAATTAATACAAGAACCGAGTCAACCGAGGACCATCAAAAGTTATTAATATGCAAATCAATTTATTTATCTTTTGTAATAAATGTAATTACGACTTTACGACCAAATATAAATCGCAGTTATTAAATGCTTCATTAAGTCATTTTCAATATATCGATTCATGATTACTCGAGTAAAATGGACAGAAAATGGCAACGTATAGGTACTCGAAATAGCAACCTTACAGAAGGAACGGTCTTGTTCATGGATAAATGATGGCAATTAAATCGGTTCATCCTTGCGGCGCTAGGTGGCGCGGCTGATGCAAATGATCGTCTAGAATCTTCAACCTGAATCTCGTTATTTGCTACGTAACTGTCTTGCGATGTGAGTGTTTTATGAAAATCGTAGTTCTTGAAACAACTAGATTAGAGTGTATGGAAAACGTAATAGTCCTTATAATCCTCATATAGCTAAATTACAAATGACGACTCCGTAGCTACGAAGTACTATACTTGTAACTATTAGGGGGCCGTGGATTCCAGTCTTCGTTAGGCGAGTTACAATATTAAGGACGCTAGCTATCATCTACCTATATGCGCTTTAGTGACCGTAGTTTTTGTTATATTTTTTTTTTGTATTATGCTGGTAACAGCAAACAGCGTGACTTAACGGAAGTTGATCTTTACAACTTATACCTACTACTTGCCAACATAGAACAGAGAACACAATTGGATATTATCTTTAAGGTAGGACCTTAAAGATAATATCCAGTGATTTATCAGCTGGTTCATTTTATTTCTATGATTTTGACTTTTCGAATAGGGACGACAACAAAATAATAATCAAAATTCCATTCGTCCGCCAGTAACATAGTGAAAAGGCATAAGATGGTATTTGTTTTTATTCGAAAAAAAAACACTATAACTGTTAGCCAGCTACATCACCGCAAAGTATTTATATATCCAATAAATTGTGACGTCAGATGATAATGTTTCAAACCAATATATTTGATTCTATCAGAAATTGGAAAAACGTATGTAATGTTTAAAATTATATACTTAAAAGACCTGAACACCTAT